ACGTTGCTCCGAAACACCCCGAATTTCACAGTATGTGGGTGAAGCAAGCACATGAATGACTGCGTGAGTAGGAAATACAAATACAGTTGATATAATCGAAGTCAGTCGGGGCGGTGTCAGGAGGCAAGGAGGGCAGCCCGCCGCACCGCTTTTACCATTTGTTGTATTCTTCCTGAATTAATTATTATCCGATCACCATTGGTGGAAATCATAGCCGAGGGCGGGCTGAAACCACCCCTCCTGGCTTCGCCCGCCTGATTGCGACGATATCAGCTATAAGAGCAGTGCATCATAGAGTATTACAGATTGCTGGTAGGTATTCCAAAAACGATTAATGAGCCAAACAGATACTAAAAAATTCTTCAAATGGGGAGGTTTAGGCTTCGGTGGTAGCTTAGCTCCACTTCCGCACACGCCCCTAGACGGACATTAGACAGCTGAGTTATTCTCCCTCAGTACAAGTAGAAGATAATCCAAGTAAACAAGACGTCTCTCGAAGCAAGTGAAATAAATTCAACTGGGTTCCCAAAGCAATAAATGAATCAATAGGAGAATTTCTAGATCGAAGTGCACAGATGGGAACGTCGTTAACGACAAGGTCGACTAGTGTTTCCGTGAGCGTAACCTTTGTCAGCGTTATTGATTGAAAACCTCTCTCTGAAGGTAACTGGGAGGTCAGATAGCTTATAAAGTTTAGGTAGAGATAAGGAAAAGCCGTAGCAGTTGACTAGTTTTACAGGAACATCAGTTGAGCTTGGAAACTTGGCTGAACAGCAGCAAAAATCTTTGCAATGTATACTTTCACGGGATATGATTCCACAACAGGCAATCGATAATGGTGGTGCAACCAAATGCGATCAATATCCAGCACCTCTTTTTAAGCCGACCACTGGGGTGCCAGATTTGAGATAGCTAGTTTTACAAACGCTAACATGTAAACCACGGGTCTTGAATCATTCGTAGGTCATATGCCTCTTCTGGCCCCACTATCTTGGATGGAGGTACACCCCGCTTTGATCGTTTGGGCGGAGTTACTTGGACGAGTGCGTTCTTCCCACTGGTCGTTTTGAAAGAATGAACCAATTGGAACGCGCACTTGTCCAGGGGCCTATACTGGAGCACATGCCTGAGCCAAGTGCATCGCGCATCCCGAACTTGTTTGCTGCTTGAGCTCAGCTTGACATACTATTTTGAACCCCTGTCTGATGTTTGGGTAACACTCAGTGCCTCAGTGCGAACAAGCCTTGAGAAATTCCTTCGAATTTGGCTCACAATTAATTGAGAGATTCGTACCCAGTGGAACCAGCGATGTTGAACAAAATATGAATTGCAAAACAGCATTGCATCCTGAAGGGAATGCGGAATGTTGGCTGTACTTCATCAACTTATTCAACATCAACTTAACGTTCGAAAATTGTTCAGAAGTACTGGTTTCTACTGTACTATATGTACAATCAGTGAGATGTGAGGGTGGTTAGAGTTCCAACTGAATTTCCTTTGCTCAGGATCTGCTGATGATCAAAACCACTGAAGTAACCTCGCAAATCTCTGAGATGAGGTAGGCGTGGCTGCGTACTTCAACTAAACGTCGTGGTGGCTATGCTTTTGGAGAGATATTTTCATTTTGACCCAAATGTGGTCACGTCTCTGTCCAACAAAGAACAAGATGGCGGTTGTCTCAAATTGAAATATCCCACGAGTAACCAGTTCTGTGCCATGTTCGAATGCCACGCCTACCCCGTCTCAGAGATAAGGGATATAAGAGCTGTCAATCCGAGGCACACACGGAGACACACTTTCTGCGATTGCGAGTCATGGTCAGTTGGATTCAATCATGAACGCAACTTGACTGGCCAACAAAGAACAAAACAGAGAAATATGCCGGAAATGCCTAGATAAGGCTCGGTTAGGCGCTGTTCACCTGAGAGTGTTCACACTGTTCCTTGTGCAAATTTTGGTTTCTTGCAGTGGAGATGAGGATTCCAGCTCAAGCGTTCGGTGAATCAATTCAGGAAACAGTACTTCTACTTGAATGACGCCAACCACAATTTTGTGAAGTAGGCGCTTTGAATGCTCCCAGCGTTGTAAATATTAGCGCCCAGTTGATCTCAAACAGTGGACGAGAATGCGTTGAATAGAGACGCAGAGACGCTCAGCGCACGGGCAAGATACTAGACAACCACGGGCGAGCGAGCACGCTCGCGTATGCAACGAAGAGCGGTGAATTCATAACAAGGGTGAAGTATCCGCCGCTAATCGTTCTTTGGGATGCGACAAGCATTCTACTTCTTAGAATTGCAGCAGATGGCTTTCAAGTGCAACTTGACCATGCAATGACTTTTGTGCCAGCAAATCTACACATCCATTCTTATCCTCCTAAGCAATTTGCCGCCATCAGAGGACGGAAGACTTGGAAGGCCTGAACCAATGCTGATGCGAGATTCCTCCCCACCCCCCCCCCCGTGGGCAGCGCGCATGTTGGGCGTTCCACTTGCCGCTACAAAGCCTCCACCTCGAAAAAGAGGGCTACCGTGTTGGTCGGAATTTAGTCTGAAGCTTCTAGTGTTCTTAGCATGTATCTTCAAGCAGCAAAAAGATACACCTTGTGGATGCTGGATTTCCACTTATCAGGAAAGATGTCAAGTGGAATGCCTCCCCACACTCCGTGTTGTAGAGACGAGTGAGTACCTACGACGATTCTCGGCCGCTTGCTGACAAAGGAGTCAGTGTTCTAACCATCTCCGAGTAGTACTGATTTCAGTGAGCCTGGTGAAATAGTTAAAACCACTTTCCGCGATCAAGCGGTCCTCAAATGACTCCGTGCCTTTTGAACTGTTATACGCGTTTACAGAGAACATACCACTTTCGTCCCTCAAAACGGCGAGATAAAGAAGTTAGAGACACGTGAGCGTGGCAACACGTGCGACATCATACTGTAGCTGTACGAGACAACGGCTCACAAGCTTCTATTCCTACAACACCCGCGCGGCACGTGTCGCGCGCGGCGCTTCTGGCACTTTGCCATCTTCGGTGATCCGCGCTTTCCATAGCGATTAAGCGCAAACCTCGCACCGTTGGACATAAATTGAAGACGATTTAGGCTGTTTCAGGGTCCATAGGAATTGCACAATCAGTAGGATGTGAACAAAAGAGCAGCAAGCCTTTTCTGAGTTTCTACCCTGCAAGCGATGGGAAGGACGTGAACTGAAGAGCAGTTGGCGTGATTCTCAGGACTCACCTGATGATCTTTTATATGGGGTTTTGTTCAGTTGCTACTACCCCAATCTTCCGACATCAGACCAGTTTTTCTATCGACCTTTTCGAAAAAAGGCTGAAAATTTGTTTCCAGACCTTCAACCTCCGAACACGAATATCGCATCGCTTGGCCAGGAATTGCCTGGCGCTCACGCCACGGTCCCACGGCTCAAGCTTTGCGCTCCAATCGCTATGGAGAGCGCGTCCTTCACGTCCGACATACTCGTCCAAGACGCCGCCCACTGCTGAGGGGAGGTCTGTGTTTAGGGTGTTCCCGAGGTTTTTTCCACTTCTTTTTCTACTGAGGAGCTACTTGCAGGCCACTGGTTGGTGACTGAGCAGTAGCTACCCTAACACTTGATCGCGGGAATTGTCTTTAACTTGACCGAGATCTGATCCTCAAACGTGTAAACACGATGTGGCAGATCTAGTTACAGTGCCGGTTCATGTTATCTCATTTCCGTGAAATGACCGTCAAAAAGATTAGCCATCAAACCCGCTTTGCAACGAAACTCTCATAAAAAAGGCGATGGAGTACCTGCGCAAAAAAGGTGATGAAGTATCTGTGCTAGGAAGTGGATCGCATTGCGGCTACTCTCAAGAAATTTTCAAAGAACACTGAACGCAAAAGACATGCATAAAACGATGTCTTAGGCGTGCCATCGATCCTGGACTGGCTTTCGCTGGACCAAATAAATCCCACGAACGGTGGGTCCGGTCATCAAACGCATCAGTCCCTCTTCCTAAGATACAAGGGGCGTATTGTAGTAGCCGTCGATTGTGACGGCTAAAAATCCTAATGTCAAAGGCTCAGAATGCTGAAACGAGGAAGCAGTAAGGCAGCTAGTTAAAGGGACTCCCCGCGTTAGAAATGGTCAGGTGCACGGTTTAAATACTAATGACGTTCTTGCAGTCAAGACCTTAGTGGAGAAAAAATAAAGCAGAAAAACCCGCCAGAAAGCTCATTATATTACCCGGTGCTAAAACGCGCTTCTACGTGCATAAGGCGAAGAATGGGTGTGGTTGGACGAGTTCTCACTTGCTAGTGTCAGCACTTTCTCGTTATCACCCCACTGAGCGGAGCCGTGGCTTCGACGCGAACCAGCTCGCTTCCCTAACATATTTTTGGGTGTGTAGCAGGAGAATCGTAAGGGTGCGGCGTAGGGGTGTGGGCTGCGACGTCGCGAAACCCGACGAAGAGTTGTCAGATTAAGCGTTGATGCTACTAAGACACTCTCAGCAACAGTCAAGTACACTCGTCCTCACCCCTTTACAATAGCCACGGCTTCACCGCTCAACAGCCATGGCTTGTCGTCTCGGAGTGGTCGTTGTCACATTAGAAAAAAAAATCCAACATTCATCATACGACATACAATATAGGAGAAATATATGTTATAGAGTGTTAGCAGCACTTTTGGCGAAGACATCCTTTTGACAGCCTTTTTATCCTACCTTCACGTCGTCGTGATGGACCAAAGGAAGAACAAGAGAAACAGGAACAGAAAGATTTTAGGAAAATATTTTGAAAAAATAACAGTGAAAATAGATACACTCAACTGAAATCAAGAGAGGAAGTCACAATAATGTTTCCTTAGACTGCAACTGCACAAGGGATCTGCTCCACTAGAAACGAATCCACACAGTTTTCTCCGCAGACCCCAAACAATTTAAAAAGTTTAGTGAGTGCAGAAATGATACAGTTCCACATGGAAATGTGAAAGGGCACGTATCGTAGGAAGAATTACCGCGCGACGTTGATGAAGCGAGTGGACTGCGATGACCCGACCAGTCGATCAGCCCGAATTGTTGCAATTTCGTCGTAATCATCTATGAATGAAGTGACTGACAGGGAATTGTCGGCATAGGTACCGTTTTGTTGAGGCCGCTCTGAGATGGATACAAAACCTAAATAAGCAATGTTCTCTATAGATCATGTGCGACGCTTTCGCAGCTGCAGTAGATGCCACTTTCTCGGCTCAAAAGTAAACGAAGGGGAATGCGGCTGGGAGGGGGGGGGGGTGTTTGGGTGCCAAAGTCTCGCACCGAAATACGCACTCAGCTTCAGAGAACAACTGAAAGTGAGAGGGCGCAGACAAGTAGTGCGTTTGGCCACGGTTAGGCGTGCGGCTGGGGGTGCGACGGCGCAGGCGGAGTCACTGGACGGCACTTGGGTGTCACTGCCCTCCAGGCTCTTTCCCGTTCACCTTTAGGCAGAAAATGTTGTCACAGCCCTCTAGGCTCTTTCTCGTGCATCGTTGAGCAGAAAAAAAGTGGCAGTGAAGTGCAAGTTCGCGCCTTTTCACCTCACACCCGGCAAGGACCAGGATCCACGGAGGTGCGCATGAGCAAGATGGCAGGCATGACGCTCAGCAGAGTGGGCGGAGCCATTTGAGCAACCTTGCGCCTTAACACCCGTACTGCACAACATTTCGATGCTTTTGCTCAAGGTTGCCTTGTGGTCTCCACTATCTCTAACACAACGAGCTTCTTTTAAGGGAATATCATATACATATTGAAGGCACAATCTGTGATCACAAATTATTTGTAGTAATTTCAAATGCGAAAATGAAGGTGTGTAAAGTAATACAGTAATGAAAAAGTTGAAAACATTCACCAACACACTGAACAGGGTCTCTTTCTTCTCCAGCATATACGAGCATGCGAAAAAGAAAGACTGCGCGCGCTGGCGAGAGTCCAGACAATCGAAGAGCGAGACAGCGCACAGCATAACGTTGCGAAACGCTCAGAACTCCATCAAGACGAGGGAGAGATGGACCAAAGGCATTTCTCTTTCAACATTGGCAATCGTCCACTGTTTCCATCAGGAGTCCAAATTCTAATAGTTTCTAACCTTTAGTGCTTAGCTTTTGACTCCAATGTTTTGGTCACACCTCTCGACTTAAATGGCACGTGCGAAACGGAAACTAGACTACTTCCTTGAAACCAATAAAGATATAACTAAAAGATATATAAATAAAAGATAAAAATAAAGTTGAATTTTAATGTTTCAGTATATGTATATTATATCACAGGTTTGAACATCAAAGTTATAATCATAAAAGTAAACTGATTAAATAACATGAAAATCACATTAAATGGTTGCCTTGTCTGTGAGGCTGAAGTCTAACACTCTCAAAAAGCAGTGTCCACGGTAACATATGTTTGCGAGATCACACTCAGTACTGGGAACGTGGCCATTGCTTAATTATCTGGCAACTAAGAATGCGAAGAAAACCTTCAAATGGCTCCGGAAAGAGCTCGTACTTCCCGTTGGTTCTTGAAGGATATTAGACCTTTACAACACGTATGAATAGGTGAGAGTACATTTTCCGAGTGCATTTATGACCTTGTCGACAGAGTCGTTTTCGTTTCATTTCCTTGTCGTTAAGGTTGTAAAAGAAAACCGGTACACCTCTCTCGGCTACTGCACAAACGGAGTGATGCTGAGTTCGGGGCCAATAGTTTATTTTGGACGTGTTAGATATATGAATTAGGTATGCGCGCAGGCATTAAGTACAGGGGGGCCAAAAGAGTCACTTTCTTTCATTGATCTTTCATTGACTTTCGAGGCGCTATAAGTTACACTTTATTAAATTCTGATCGGACATTTTTACCACCATATTAAGAGCATATTAAATACTATCATGACACTCCGCCACAGCCTTCTGGACGAGCGCCATCGAGAGATTCTGGCACGCGACCCCTGAGATCAGCGAGATAGTCGATTTCTCCGCCACCGTAGACCACCCTATTGAACTCCGCCCGAACCGGGTAATTGAGGGGATTCAGGTCAGGTGACCTACTTGGATATTCCATCTTCTTTAGGTACTCAGCCCCCTTCCATTCCAAGTAGGCGTTTCTCCAATGCCCTTCGATTCCATGTGGTGGCACCCAATGCTGTAGCAGTACAAAGTTTCCAAGAAGGTACGGGCGACGACATGTGAGGAGGATATTCTTCACGAGTTGCTCGATGTAACCGCCAGCGCTCACCTTCAGTCCGGGGTCCACGAAGAAAATATTGGTCTTTCCATTCCAGGTACGTCCGGTCCATACCATCAACCGCCTTGGCGACTGTGAAGATGATGTCCTAGACCGTGGCGACGTTGTCGGAGCTGCTCGATGTTGGAGGTCATCCAGATCGAGAGTACTGGTCTCCAGGTAGCTATCCATGGGTGACTCCATACTAGAAGTTTCGCAGCTGTTTGGAGGTGACATGAATTCCAAAGGTCTTCTCCAGTCAGGCTGCGACTGGAGATGACTTCATATTTTGGTGTACATGAAGGTGATGGGCGAGAGCCAGCTCCTGCTTATAGAGGAACATCTTGGGTATCCGCCCTGGTACTCGTATCCACGTCCTCTGTCTGGGCAGCGAAAACTTTGCTGATATGTGACTCGGTCGAAGTGACTTTTTTTTGCCCCCACCCTGTTTGTTGTGACCTTGTGAGAGTTCGCACTGCATGATGGATTGAGCTTGGTTTGGTTTACGGAAGCTCTAGCTGGAGAGCAGCGGAATGGGCGCGCTCATAGGTGATCATGATCCTTGACAACGAAAGGGCGTGTTAATGGATATGAGTTGGATGAAAGCTGGAACAGCCTTCACGTTACTTTTCGCGGATTCAAGATGAAACAGGCGGAAAGGCCACCTTGGCAGCGCTCCATTCTGTGCCCTGCCACACGCCCTATCGTTTACAGTGGTCATGAATGTACCGCTCTAGTGAAAGGTGCTAAAATCTTGCACCAGACAATGTTTTCAGTACTATACGTGTTCTCCTTTCTACATATTTTGTGGGGTGTGCATAAGAAAAGTAGAACTGGTCAGAGAGAGAAGCAGCGAGCTCAACAAACAGTTTTTCTATGAAAATTGTTCGGCACATTATAAGTTACATTCATTGGACATGAGTTTCTCAGAGAATTCTGCTTGAGCATAAGTTTAATAAGAAGTTTGAAAGGTTTTCGAGGAATTTACGTGCACTGAACAAAGACTGGACTCACTAATGTGTCTATTGTCTCACTGCAATCAAATGTCGGACGAGTTGTTCGGTGCAGGGGTGCAGAGACCAGGGATGGAGACATGGAGATACCTAGTAAGGGTGGCAATGCGAACCGCGGCGCACCAACCGATACACTTCCCTCTACCGCCCCAGGCACAATTTTGCGAATTTTTTGATATGACAAGCCACGAGAAGATTCTAGTTCTGGCTCGCTTCGTAGCAGAAGTGATTGGACCATTGCAATTATAATACTGGTCAAAATAGCCTCCGATCAGCATGAAGGGTCCAGGATCACGCAAGGATTTGTTAATCGGGCTGGCGTTGTCGTTGAATATGAAGGGACTGCGTGGCGACAGCAAATTTGTCTTTTGTAGGGTGCAGCATTTGTAGTATTTGAAAAGGCGAGATAGCCTGAAATCGCTTAAAGCAGCGCCACGTTCACTTGATGTTCCTACGCCCTTTCTGGATATCATAGCCCTCCCCATAAGGATGCAGTATGTACTAGTTTTGCATCTCACAAAGGCGAGAGGATAGCGCCTATCGCTAGTAAAGAGTCGACCGCCCCGCCCACCTGGCGACCACGACGCCCAACTTCATTTCTAATGGTTGCCTGATGGTGCGGTTGTTCCATTGCTGCTTCTCTCCACGTCGTGTGGTGAGAGTGAGGTGATAAGGGGAAACAGCTGAAATCAACAAGTGAGAACTCGTGCAACCACTCCTTCTCTTCGCCTTAAGCACGTACAACCGCTGTTCGGTATGAAACTCCTTATAGGGCATTTTGCATGTTTTCTTTTTGATTTTTCTTCACTAATAGGTTTCTTGCTACCTTGCTATTACTACCTGAGCCGCATACTCATCAAATTTGAACGCGGGCGCTGCCTTTAAACATTTTACATGTGCAGCCACCAGTTGAGTGGAATTAACACTGCGGCAGGGCAGGCTGTATCAGAATTGGACGCAGGGAACATCATTAGTTGAGGTTCTTCGTCGAGTCCGTACGACCCCCTCCCTTACTTCCATCCCTCAC